AATTATAAATATTTTAACATTGTATAAAATAGGTTATATCAGTAAGTAAAATTTTATTCTTTCTTAAATACTTTTATATTTTCACATACATGCATACATTATAATAAAAACAATAACAGCAGCAACAGCTAATAATTCTGCTTTATAGTTAGGTCGATATTCAGATCCCCTAAATATCTGATTAGTGGATAACATTGAGATATATAGATAATCTAGATAATCTAGATAGATATATTTAGATAAGATTAGATAGTAGATCATTATTAGTAATAGTTTCCATTATTAAACTGATTTATTTAATAATAACAGAGAATCAAAGCAATCAGTTTCAAAAATCCAACTGTAGAACTTTGATTCAGAGAAATGAAGAACTGATTAAAATATCTTAAGAATAACTGATAAAACTGAACCATTTAAATTGGCGCGTAATGGTACAGTGATAGTCACTAGGTCTTGGTATTCAGGCGATGGACACATTGTAATCATTACTGATCTTTTAAATCAAGTATATCTTCTATCAAAAGCTAGACCAAGTATTTCATATTATCTTCCTATTCTATTTCTAATTCGTTTAATATTTGTTAGTGAATTTTATTGTATTAGTCTATAAGCTTTTATTTGAAACTGTAATTCGAATCCAATATCTCTGACCATAATTCGACTTAAAACCATTTTTGAGCAATCCTCGATTTATATATTTATTTAATAATAATTTTGTTGTTAAACGAGTAATTGATCAATAGTCTTTTAATTTTTCCGGGCTTTAGGTCATGTTTTTAAAAATTATATTTTTATATTAAATAAATATATACATAAGTAAAAAACTGTGATTTAATCTTAAGTTTATAATAGGTATAAGTTATTATTTAATAATATAATTTTTAAAAACGCGACCTGAAGCCCGACAAAATTTAATACACATAACTATAGAGGTTAACAGTAACATAAATATTATAATACACTTTTTTAAAAAAAAATTTTTTTTTTAAATTTAATTTGATCTAATATTTCTTATAATGTAGCAATAATTAAATATAAATCTTAAAAT